CTGCCTGCCCACTGAGAGGAGGAGGAGGAGGGGCCAGAATGCACCACGTTGTGGGAAGAAATGGGTGGGGGGGAGTGTGGCTGCCGCAGGACCAAGCTTCTGCCTCCTGCCCCCACAGGGGAGAGCAGTGTGGGGGGGGGGCTGAGTGGGGCCGGGGGCCGGGACCCCACAGCGTGGTACTTTCCGGCCCCTCCGCCCCTCCTCCTCCTCCTCTCAGTGGGCAGGCAGCGTGCCACTCAAAATCGGCTCGCGTGCCGTGTTTGGCATGCGTGCCATAGGTTGCCGACCCCTGTTGTATACTGTGTTGTAATTGAAATAAATATATTTAAAAATGTAGAAAAACATCCAAACATATTTAATAAATTTCAATTAGTATTCTATTTAACAGTGTGATTAATTTTTAATCACGATTAATATTTTTGAGTTAATCGCATGAGTTAACTGCAATTAATCAACAGTCTGAGTCCATATCATTATCTCCATTTTATAGATAGGGACACTGAGGTGAACGGAGAGGTGAAGAGACTTGCCCTAGGTCACCCAGCAAGCAAATTTCAAAGAGAAAATTTTCAAAGATAGAAAAATAAAACATATAACAAAACTGACAAATTCTTCAGACACAGCTCTCAAAACATTTTCAGCCAATTCAGAATGCTCCATACCAATACAGTCTGAAGAGAGAAAAAAAAGTGACAGGAGAAGAATGCTGTCCATGCTGGCTAAAAAGCAGTGCTTAGTTAATATATCTGAAATGGTAAAGCAAAGCCTTGAAATCCAGAGGTATAGAAGCTATTGTAGAATTATTTTCTAGCCCATCTAGACTTTCAATAGTAGGTATTTCTATTTCAGCAGGTGAGACATTTAAAGGTTTACTCATCATTGCAGTAAAAAAATCAGAAGTTTCTTTCCATCTGTACCCGACGTTTGCATGCACTCTACGTTATGCAGAAAGAAGCACTGACATAAACAAACATATGCAAGCTCAGATTTTTAACACCAGTAGCTGCTTTTTTTGTGATTCTATGGAGCACCATCAGGAGAGATGTTAAGAAGTGGCCTTTCATTAGAGGTTACTTCATTTTGGCTTGCCCAACTTGAAGTGCCTTACTCTCTCCCCATCAACTAGCGGCATGAAAGTTGTTCTCTAAGTACAACATAAAACTGAATTAAAATGCAAAGTCTGAAAGAATCTAGAAGGCATCGGGAAAAAGATTAGTAATCTTCAATGATGGCTCAAATGTCTTCTCCAACATTGGTTCCAGAAACAAGAGGAACTTAACATGAACATCCAAACTATTTAAGTCTTGAACAAAACTATCCTTGTAATACTAAAAGCTTAAATATGATTTTCAAAAACCTCTTCTTTCATGTGGTGTAGTGGATTGTCCTTTATTAACACACCCACTAGTCTTCAAACTATCAGATATAATTTGCAGTTCATTAGTTTTTGCACACAGCTTTTTAACATCTTTTTCGAAAGAAATTGATATAAGAACCACCAAGTTCTATTTGGAGTCAAGTAGATCAAAAGAAGATTCGAAAGCTTGAACAGCTGTTAAGATTAAATATAATGATGTACTAAGGGATAGAGTGAACAGACGCAATATGTGAGCGGCATGAAAAGCCTCCAAGTAAGCTGTGGATAAAAGTGATTCTGACAATAGTGAGGAAGCAAGGGAAGCCCTTCATTTAACCCCACAACTTTCAGGTCCTGTGGAATCAGGAACTATATGCTTTTCTACACACTCGCCTTCCTTTCTCAACCACCTGTTAGAAGGCATTTTTATGGAGATGAACAGAGCACAAAGAAATCAAATGTTCTCTTTTAAACAGAGCCCAGTAGAATTAGGAATAGTTTTTAGAAAATCTAAAGATATCAATTATGCAAAGTGGGCCTTGGTACTGTTTAATAAAAGGCAAACTATATATGTGGCAAATTTACCCTACGTAAAATAACACATCAAAAATATAAATACAGCTCAAAGAGCAATTCATCTATTGCAACCATAAATAAAAAGTGTAAAGTCTCCTATGAATAGGGCTTAAGAAAAAACCCCCCAAACGCACACTCCTGTTCAGCCACTGTCATTAGGGGTAAGTGAAGAAATAAAAGTCCAAGCAGCAACAGTAGCTCCCTATCCTGATAAGGGGATTTTAAGGGTATGTCTATACTGCAATTATGGATTGCAGCTCATGTAGATATACATGAGCTAGCTTTAATTTAGCCAGCTTGGGTCCCAGAGCAATGAACCCACAGCAGTGTGTGCTTCAGCACAGACTAGCCCCATAAGTGACTATCTAGGGTTCTAAGTGGGCTTGTACAGCCTGCACTGAAGCATGCACTGCCGCAGTTTCACACCTTCAGGACCTGAGCTAGCTAAATGAAAGCTAGCTAAGGTCTGTCTACTCCTGCAAGCTACCATACCTCTGATTGCAGAGTAGGCATACTCAGAGTCCTTGTTGTTCACTCAGTGCACACACAAGACTGTGAACGGATGAGGGGTTTATTTGCTTAGGGCCAGACTGTGAACTTTTTGGTCACACTGGTGAGTAATTATTTACGTGAGGAGTCAGTGCTCACCAATATGAGCAAGGGGTTCACAATTTGACCCAGAGGGTAGATCTACACTGCAATTAAACACTGAGGCTGGCCTGAGTCAGCTGACTCGGGCTCACGCTTTGGGTTTGTTTAACTGTGGTGTAGCTATTCGGGCTCAGGCTGGAACCCAGGCCTTGGGACGGGGAGGCCCCCAGAGCCAGGGCTCCAGCCCAAGCGTCTACATGGCAACTAAACAGCCCCGTAGCCCGAGCCCCACGAGCCCGAGTCAACTGACACAGGATAGCCACTGGTGTTTAACAGCACTGTAGACGTATCCTGAGCAGCTTTGCCACTAAAATATTGAGTGCCTGTGGGAAAGTCACTTAGGATTAGTGGGATTTTCTTAAGTGCCTAAACATATTAGGAGCCTAACTCCCACTGATATCAACTCAAAACATTTAAATATACGCTTAAGTCCATATCTATTCAGCAAAGTACTTTAAGCATTTGTTTAAGTCCCATTGTAGTCAATGATTAAGCACCTGCCTAAAGTTAAGGATGCTTTGCTGAATAGAGATGACCTGCTGAATCAGGACCTCAGATGTTACCAGCAACATATGCTGCCTAACCACAACCCCTACCCAGTTTATCATGATCCCTTGGGGCTACGAAGCATCACTGAACACAACTGTTGGGCACCCACCTCGCCAGCTCCATGCCTTCTTCCAGTTCCACTATGCAGAACATAACAAATTTAATCCTAAATAAGTAATTTCAAGTTAGACAAGTGAGCAAACAAAAGGTGTCTTTATAACAAGTTTATTCCGTAGAATTACCAAGAAGTCACACTTACCCAGAAGAAGAAATTAAACACAAACAAGAGATACTTCAGATAAACAGTCATCCAGTCATCTTGCTCGGCTTTGTTGAAATGGGACATTGTTGGAGTCTCTAGAAAGAAAAACATATACATATATATACACATACACCTTACATTTTCAAACAGATTATTCCTCCCCTAAAAACCCTGAGACACACCCTTTTATTCTAGAACAAAATTAAAAGTGAGGTTCTACTCTGAAAAGTGACTTTAAAATGGCATTATGAGGCCCCAAGTTTCGATGATTTCTGTATCAAATATGCTCAATTTGCCAAAAAAAGGGGGGGGGTATATTTTCTAACTCCCAGCCCTGCAAACTCACATTGAGCTCTTAGCAGCAAGCTGGGTTCTTTTCTTTTGGCAAACTTCGTCACCAGGAATAAAGATTCTGCATGCAAATCTTTAGTGACCCCCATTGTCCTCAGCCACATATGTAAAACCCCCATTGCCTTCAGTGGGTTAAAACAACTGTATCTACAGTATAATTCTAATTATCCAGCTTTCCTTTACCAAAAATCCTAGTTATCTGAATCTACACCATGGTCCCCCATGTAGCCCTATGTTAGTTAATAGGACTTCTGGTTAGCCGAACACCCAGTTATGCAGAATGTTTGGATGTCTCTGAGGCAATTCAGATAATGGGAGTGTACTGTATTTGGAATTCAGTCATCAATTTTGTTGATGATACACAGGAAGGACTAGAATCCAGCTCCTTCTCTCTAAGCGTGTTGGCTCTGCAGGGTGAATTGGGTGTAAAATGCAATAAAATATATACTTAAAATCAGAAGATTGAAATTAAAGAAGAATTTGTGAAAGATCAATCACGTTAAATATAGCTATTAGTCTAGATCAGTGGTTCCCAAACTTGTTCCGCCACTTGTGCAGGGAAAGCCCCTGGCGGGCCAGGCCGGTTTGTTTACCTGCCGCGTCCGCAGGTTCTACCGATTGCGGCTCCCAGTGGCCGCGGTTCGCTGCTCCAGGCCAATGGGAGCTGCTGGAAGCGTCGCGGGCCGAGGGACGTACTGGCCGCCGCTTCCAGCAGCTCCCCTTGGCCTGGAGCAGCAAACCGTGGCCACTGGGAGCCGCGATCGGCCGAACCTGCGGACGCGGCAGGTAAACAAACCGGCCCGGCCCGCCAGGGGCTTTCCCTGCACAAGCGGCGGAACAAGTTTGGGAACCATTGGTCTAGATAGATGGGAAGTATTAATGTTCCCAGTAAAAATTTTGCTAACCGGAAGTTAAGGATTAAATTAAATGATGGATTCTTTCAATCACAAGAAATACCCTTAAGAGAACCAAACCATACATGATAATATGCAAATGTCAAGTTAAGGTTCATCTTTATAAACTACACAGAACATTCCAAAGTATGGAAATGCTTGAATTAAAATTATCCAACTCATTGCACCACATTAGAAACACAAATTCTGAGACAACCTTATCTATTCCTTATACAGTTTAATCTATCTCAGGAATATCTCTAGCCTAAAAAAGCTTTGGGAGAATGTGAATGACAGGGAAATTTTAAAAGCTTGATATCTCTGAAACTTTGTATGATTTGGTCCAAGCTTTCTAGAAACATTATTTCCCAGGGTAAGATGTGCCATTGGAACTCTGAGGTGGATTGGTTTCATTCTGATGAGGTCAAGAAGTGATACAATTAGGTTTACAAGAGGAAGGTAACTGACCAGAATAATAGGAGGAATTTTCACTTCTCCATAACGTCTACATTTTCAGAAGTTTTACACAATGTATTAATGTGTATACCAACAAAATATGGGTTGGGTCAGTGCTTCTGAACCAGGGGGACGTATACCCCTGGGGGTACACTGAGGTCTTTTAGGGGGTACATCAACTCATCTAGTTATTTGCCTAGTTTTACAACAGGCTACATAAAAAGCACTAGTGAAGTCAGTACAACTAAAATTTAATACCGACAATGACTTGTTTATACTGCTCTGTATACTATACATTGAAATGTAAGTACAATATTTATATTCCAATCGATTTATTTTACAACTATATGGTAAAAATGAGAAAGTAAGCAATTTTTCAGTAATAGTGTGCTGTGACACTTTTGTATTTTATGTCTGATTTTGTAAGCAAGTAGTTTTTAAGCGAGGTGAAACTTGGGAGTACACAAGACAAATCAGACTCCTGAAAGAGGTACAGTAGTCTGGAAAGATTGAGAGCCACTGGGTTAGGTAATACATTATTAAAATGAATTGGGGACTGATTAGTAAACAGAATGGGAATTAAAGATATGTATTCTTTGTGGAATTTGGTGAGGCAGAGCACCATGGGGTTCTGTACTGGAACTGGTATTGCCAACTGACCAACAGGAACTGGTCTTGTATTTTTATTACTAGTTCAGACAAAGATACAATATGCAGATAATATCAAAATAGAGAAAATAGTTAAGACTTAGAGGGATGGATTAGGCAAACAGACTCAGAGGTGGAATATGAAATGTAATGTAAAATGATGCCCTTAGGAAGAAATAATGCCCAAAGTAAATACAGTTTTAAATTACATCAAATGAATTAACGTGACAGAGGAAAAGGTGCTGGGTGTACTGGTAGACTCAAACATTACATTTTTGATTGACTGTATTTAGTAGTAAAGAAGGCAACAATGAAGGGTATATTATATTAATCCAAGGACATTGTGCTATCATTGATAGCATGTCATTTTACATAGCACTGATTAGATTGCATTTGAAATACAGTGTCCATTTCTGACCATCAAAGTAGAAGACAGTAAGCATAGGCCAAATAAATTGATAAGTTGAAAGGAGGGATTTACGGATGAGACGAGATTATAAAAAAAAATTGGGGATACTTTGTTTTCAGAGAGGACGGGATTGAAGTAATTACACTCTCAAAAGATTATAAAATTGAACTTGAAGATCTGAGGACATTGAGGAGGCCAGAATTAGAGGAAACACAGGTTTAAGTGAAGAGGCATTGTAGGTAAGCAGAAATTAAAATTGTATTATTTTAACGAGAACAGTTGGAATGAACATCCTACTTAGGTAGTGGAGTCAAATGGTACTAATGTATTTAAGCAAAAATTAGATGGCTATATGGAATTTGATACGTTCTATTTTGAAAGTGATTATGTAAAAATTGCACCTTCCTACTCAACAGATCTGCTCTGTGTGTATTCAGAGTCAGATCTATTTACATGGAACATAAAAATAAGTTTTTACTACTTTTTATTCCTGTTATCCCTGCAGAGCCCACACAATTCAGAAAGGGAGCTGGATTCTATTCCTTCTTGTGCATCATCACCAAAGTCATTTAGTAAGTTTCAATCAGTTACACCTGTGCTACAGATTGGAACTTAGGGTACTGGGTAAAATTATATGGCCTGTGCTATGCACGAGGTCAGAAAAGATGATCATAATGGTTCCTTCCGGCCTTAAAATGCATAGGTGAATCCTGGCCCCATTGAAGTCAATGATTTTTGCCACTGACTTCAATGGGGCCAGGATTTCATGCTACGAATCTGCGAATCTCCTTTAAGACATCATACATAGGCAGGGCCGGCTCCAGGCACCAGCTTAACAAGCTGGTGCTTGGGGCGGCCAAGAGAGAGGGGCGGCACCTGCGGCAATTCGGGGGCGGCAGGTCCCTCACTCCCTCTAGGAGTGAAGGATCTGCTGCTGAACTGCTGCCGCCGTTCGCGGCTTTTTTTTTTTCTTTTTCTAATTGCTGCCGCCGATCGCGATTGCGATCGTGGCTTTTTTTTTTTGCTTGGGGTGGCAGAAATGCTGGAGCCGGCCCTGTACATAGGTGTCACAAAAGGGAAATGACCGAAGACAATGGAGTTGCATAGATGTAACCAACAGCAGAATTTGGCCTCCAAAACTTTTATTTATTGGTGACAGTTGGGAAATAACCTAAACTTAGTCTCAGCACTTAGGCTGAGTGGGCAGGGCTAATAATTAAAAGCCTCCCACAACCACCACCCACCAGTTTATAGATGGGAAAACTGGATTCCCATTGCGATGGTCACAGTCACACACTATCAGAATCAGGATTAGAACTCAGTCCTAACTGATTTAATTTGCTTCTATTTGTGTCCAAAAATCACTTCCAATAGCTGAAATTTGAAACCACATTAGAGTATGAGCCTATTTAGATCACTACTGAGATTGTAAGTTATTTGGGGCAGGGACTGTCTGTTTTGCTTTGTGTTTGTACAGCACCTAGCACAATGGGGTCTTGGTCCATGACTGAGGCTCCTAGGCACTAAGACAATACAAATAAATTCCCAAATGACAGCACCCTTTATAGTTTCTTCCTTTACAATACATTCTTTACAGGCGCGGAGATTCTAAACTGTAACCCTCACCAGTTGTCCCTTAACACACCGGAATATAAAAACGGATCCTCTGTTAACATTAACACAATCCCTTCCCTTTTCATCATTCAGTGCTTGAATATTCCAATTGATCTGTGGCAACTGAAAATTAAAATCCTTGGTTATTATTGAAGTTGCTAATGACACATCCTCTAGCATCTCTGAAATGCTTCATTACCCTTATCTGGAGGTAAATATTTCCTATAAAGACACTTCAATAGCTTAGGTACTTCAATCTAAACTGATTAAACACTTCTATCATTTTTAAAACTTGGCTATCTGCAAATTGACATTTATCACTTCACTGTAAAGTTTCCTGAACCTCAACAACAGTTGGCTTGGGTTCAATTTGCATCATATAAAATAAAACAAAACAAAACGCCCCGTCTATCCAGTCCAAATGCTGCAGAAAGTCCAAGCTTGCTGAGTTCTGAGACATCAGATACCCATCCTGCCATCCACAAGAAAAGAGAAAAGATTCTATTAAAGTGATACTTTTCAAATGCCTGGTCTACACTGGGGGAGGGTGGGGCGGGAAATCGATCTAAGTTACGTCAACGTACTTAGACCTACTCATCGCAGTGTCTTCACTGCGGTGAGTCGACTGCTGCTGCTCCCCCGTGGACTCTGCCTGTGCCTCTCGCGGCGGTGGAGTACAGGAGTCGATGGGAGAGCACTCGGGGGTGTGATAAATCGACCCCCACTGGATCGATCACTGCCCGCTGATCCGGCGGGTAGTGTAGACATACCCTTAGGGGGAATTGTTCCCTATGCTTTTTCTTAGTTTCCGCTTTGAAACGGCGGTAGAGTAGGCCAACGCACACTAGGAAATTGTAGTGCATGGAAGCAAGGTCCACATGGACATTTAACACATAGCATGCTAGTGCACTGTAGATTTACATTCCAGCTTGCCACCCACTAACTGCACATCTAGATAAGCCCTTAGCTCAAAAGAAAGTCAACTCACATTGAATATTTGTGTAAAAAGCTGCCCACTCCCAATCGAAAAGCCACATATAGGATGAAATTCACCCTTCTGTAAAAAGCCCCACATAAGATATATGCACCACTTAAGTCCTCAAAAAAGGTGTTAAATGATGGTGCATGGACCTATGCTTGGCCTTCTGCTCCCAGTGAACAGGGTGCATGTTAGGCTTTCAAATGCCACTTAGATTCCACTTAAGCCTGCAGAGCAGTTTGTGGGTGGTATGACTTAGTGGTCAGAGCCTAGAATAGAATCAAGGTTAGAAGCCACAACAAGGATCACAGCTGGAGTCACAGCTAGAAATCATGCCCAGGGTCAAGCTGGGGTCAGTAAATGGAGTCAGGGCAAGGAAGCAGAAACCAGGAACAAGTGGTTGTAACAGGAATAAGGAGCGGGAACCAGGGGAGGAGGCAGGAACTTGGTCTCCGGGGTCTGGCCACCAGCAGGCCTAGCAACTAGTTGCTCAGACAGGAGGTGTGGCAGGAACAAGAAGCTTTATGCTATGAGGTATCCAATTAGCTGCCTGGTGCTGGTCAGCTGATCCCACTGTGCATCCTCTGTTTGCAGGGTGTCAGCTGTAGTTTCCTTGTCCAGCCTTGTAGGGCGATGGAAGGGCGCAGACGGTAAGGCTCTCTCTCAGCCAGCTTGTGGGACCTGCGACACATGACACTGCTACCAAAACAGGCCCAGTCTTGAAACTGAGGTTGACTACACTGTCTGGTGGTAGGAGCATCCCAAAGTGGAGGCCAAAGCAGTCTCTTGGTTGCAAAGTATTGTCACAATGTTCTTTCCTCGAGCACAGAAAAAGGACTCGGATCTTCCCAAACACATGATAGGGAAGGGGATGGTGGGCATGGAAAAGGCTTCTCTTGACAAAAATTAGTGCCTTTACAAAGTGTATTTTAATGCTGTGTAAAGCTCAGCCTGTGAATTTCTCTTGCTTTCTGGGTCATCTCTGGTTTAAACGAAGAATCTCCTACTCAGTATTAAATATTTAGTACTGTCTTCTACATTTTCTAAATCCCCAGCCAAAAAAAAAAGGATTACAATGGAACATGTTTATAGTGGTTTTGGACTTTCACTTCCCTTCACTGCATTTCAGCTCCACTTATAGGCACCGACTGAGCAGTCCACACTTATTCAACAATGACCTTTAGCACATGTTTAACTTTGGGCATGTTTGAGTCCCATTGACTACAATGGGATTTAAGCATATGTTTAAAATTAAGGTGGAGATGACAGGGTAGTCTCAAAAAGATTACAGATTACTTTGCATGGGCTAGTGTATGGCATCATGGAATAATGGCTGGAGGAGAGTAGGAATTGCATAAATCAGACAAAATTGCCACTACATAAGGCATTGAACAGGAAAGACTAAATTCTACCTTCATTTCACACATGGAATTCCCACTAATATCAAAAGGATACAGTCCTGATCCGGGTTACAGCACGTTTACACCATATAATACTATTTTCAATGGAGTCACTGTTGATACACACCTGTGTAAGATCAGGACCCAGGTCAAAGACAGCAAAGAAGTTGTTCCTGAAGATGTTGCCCCTGAGGGCTTAGAAGAGCTGCAAAAAGATGCAAGTGTTACAGGTTCGGTCACAGAGACACCCTTGGGACTGTCACCTGACGTGCTGAAATTACCTCTGAGCCTGTTTTCCCTGCCAGCTTGGGACTCCAGAACCCTGTCTTGTTGACCCAGACATGCTAGCCTGCTGCAACACAGACCCAGGGTCTGGGCCATGCCCCCAAAGCTGCAGACTAAACCGAAAACAGCTCAGCAGGTTTACCTGTCTTCAGCACCCAGATACCCAGCTCCCAATGGGATCCAAACCCCCAATAAATCCATTTTACTCTGTATAAACTCATAAATTGCCTGCCCTCTATAACACTGATACAGAGATGTACACAACTGTTTGCTCCCCCAGGTATTAATCACTTACTCTGGGTTAATTAATAAACAAAAGTGATTTTATTAAGTATTAAACGTAGGATTTAAATGGTTTCAAATAATAACAGACAGAACAAAGTAAGTTACCAAGCAAAATAAAGCAAAAACACGTAAGTCCAAGTCTAATATATTAAGAAACTGATTACAGGTAATATTTCACCCTCAGAGATGTTCCAATAAGCTTCTTTTCACAGACTAGACTCCTTCCTAGTCTGGGCCCAATCCTTTCCCCTGGTACAGTCCTTGTTAGTTCCAGCAGACATCTTAGGTGGTAACTAGGGGTTTTCTCATGACTGGCAGCCCTTTGTCCTGCTCCACCCCTTTTATAGCTTTGGCACAAGGCGGGAATCTTTTGTCTCTCTGGGTCCTCACCCCTTGTTCTAAATGGAAAAGTACCAGATTTAAGATGGATTTCATTATCAGGTGACATGGTCATATTTCCTGTGAGACCCAGCTGCCATTCTTCCTGGGCTGGCCCACATGTATACAGGAAGGTTGCAAGTAAACTGAGCCATTTATAGTTCATTGATTCTGAAGTACCCTTAATGGCTTCCACTTAATATATTTACATTAATAATACAACTTTATATCTTATTCTCCTGACTCCAGACATAGAAATAATACATGCAAACAAACAGGAAGAACACACTTAGTAGGTTATAAGCTTTGTAATGATACCTTACAAGAGACCTTCTGCAAATGGATATTCCAGTTACTTCATATTCACATTTTGTTTTGTTTTAAATGGAGATATCCTATCTTCTAGAACTGGAAGGGACCTTGAAAGGTCATTGAGTCCAGCCCCCTGCCTTCACTAGCAGGACCAAGTACTGATTTTGCCCCAGATCCCTAAGTGGCCCCCTCAAGGGCTGAACTCACAACCCTGGGTTTACTAGGCCAATGCTCAAACCACTGAGCTATCCCTCCCTCCATAAGCATCTTTTCATAAAGCATATGGGGTGCAACGTCACAGTAGGTTCTGGGTTAGGGGCTGAAAACAAAATGGAGATTGGGGTGGTAATGTGTGTTTCAGTGTTGCTGTGAGCTCTGCGTAAAGGCCAGCAGTGCAGATTAATGTCAGAATAAGAAGTAGACTTGAGGGGTGAATCTTGTTTAAGATGATTCCTGCTAGCAGGTGCCAACGTGATTTCTTTGTCCACCACAGATAAGACCTGAACCATTTTTACAAATACTATAGACTAGGGAAACCAATTTAAAACTGGTTCTTGCTAATGTAGTTCCAGCGGCAGCGTAGACAGGACCATAATATAATATTTTAATATTAATTAGTCAAAAGGAAATACAAAACTTACAGATATGTTTACAGCAAAAAGGAAAGAATTGAAGTTTTTCTAAGTGACAATCATGAGTTTGTTCTAAGACTGTGAAGGGTTTTCGCAAGGACATTAAATAAAAGGTAATTCCGCACATATATTTTTGGATTGGCACAGAATTTGTTTCCAAAAATTTAATTTAATTTCTTGACTTGTTTCCAGCACCACTATCTCTAAAAAAAGCTTTCCTACCCAAAAACCAAATAGTCACAATAGGAATATTTTTAAAGAAGACTGGAACTTCTGTTAAGTATCATTCAGGACTCACAGACTTTAAGGCCAGAAGGGACCATAGTGATCATCTAATCTGACCTCCTTCATATTGCAGGCCATAGAACCTCACCCACCCACTCCTGTAACAGGCCCCCAATCTCTGGCTGAGTTACTGAAGTCCTCAAATCATGATTTAAAGACTCCGAGTTACAGAGAATAGTCCATCTACTCAGTTTAAACCTTCTGTATTTCCAAAAACTTTGCATTTATAATGTTTTTGAAAAATTAGAGTACTTTAAAAACAAAGAGTCCAAAAATTCCAACCAGATTTCTGGATCATCCATCATCTGCTAACAAGGAAGTTTTATTTTCTGGAGCAAAGCTAACAGCTATGTGAGTAACTCTAGGGCAGGTGATATGCATCCAGGACGTTCTATTTACTAGTGGGTCACAAATCAGGAGACAAGACCTGAGCCTGTAGACAGGGCCGGCCCTAGAACAAATGTCGCCCCTGCCTCCATTTGTTACATTTTTGAATACCTTATTTTTTATTGCATTTGTAGCCCAGTTCATGACTTTGATGCATGATTTGCATACATGATTTATCGCTGTCATATAAGATGATAAATTTGCATGCTAGAATCTGTAAATCTGCATTTATTCATGGCATACATAAGCAATAAAAAAATGGTTTCCTCTAAACTTACAGAAACTTTTTAGTTAAGAATAACTGAAATGTACTAACATCAAGAAATTGAACTGTGCACTAACATTGGGTGGACCAGTATTAAATAGTGTTACAGTAGGTGACAGTCTTAGAATGTTAATCCTAGTCCTTTAGTTCAAAAGGTCACTTTTCTCGCTTTTGCCCTTGCAAACTGAAGCACAGCATTGGAGAGATCCAAAGACTGGCCAGTGGCATTTTCGAGAGATAAAATAGCAACAATGTGAGTCTCTTGCCGGCCATCGTCAATCAAAGATATGTTTTAATGAGCCTGAGCTTCAAAAACCTGCACTCACCATTCGTGACTGGGACCAGCAGTATGAGCAGAATCCTCAAAGCTATCCACACATTAGGAAAAGTGTCTTTCAGTTCTGCATCATGAACGAACTGGAATACGTGGAGTGGAGAGAATGAGGAGTACTTGTGGCACCTTAGAGACTAACAAATTTATTTGAGCATAAGCTTTCGTGGGCTAAAACCCACTTCATCGGATGTATGCAGTGGAAAATACAGTAGGAAAATATATATACACAGAGGACATGAAAAAATGGATGTTGCCATACTAACTATAATGAGAGTAATCAGTTAAGATGGACTATTATCAGCAGGAGAAAAAAACTTTTGTACTGATAATCAGGATGGCCCACTTCCAACAGTTGATAAGAAGGTGTGAGTAACAGTAGGGGGGGAAATGTGTAATCGACATAGAGGTCTTTATCATTGACATCCAAACATTCCCTATATGTCAGCATCTGGTGAAAGTCCGCACAATTGTTCAAGAGTGTTTTCCTGTCTGCAGCTTATAAAGGTCATACAAAAACCTCTAGGTCTTCTTGTGGTGCTTCATTTGTCCGAACCTTTCTTTGATGGATTTTTCTTCCAAGCTTCCCATCACCTCATCTCTACCCTCAGAACCGACGCCCCACCCTTTCATACCCACAAGGGCATGGCTGACAATAGTCTAGGAGGTTCGAGGAAAATGTAGTTCTCAGAAAGTCTGGAAGGTTCCACGAGATTCTACAAAGGTCCAGAGAATTCCGGGAGGTTAGTGAAAAATGAATCCACATATGGAATACCTGAAACATTTTACTTTAAACCTTCTATTTTCCCTTTTGTTGCTAACAACAAAAACAGCATCCTGAGCCTGGCATCCCAAGTGGCCGCCTCGGTCGCCTGCCCCTAAATCAGGCCCTGCCTACAGAAGTGGTTCTGCATTCAGACCTTTGCACCAAAAAGGAGATGGCCGTGGTCTGCTCTTTTTACAATGTAGCAGAAGGAGCAGAGTGTGTAAGCCATATTTCTTGAAGAATAACCTGAACTGTTGATGCCAACCTACAGCAGCGTAAACACAGCTCTGAAGAAGGAACTTCTGGGGAAGCTCTTAAGAGGCTAGTTGGCTAGAGCGCAACCACAGTCCTTATTAACAGTCTGGTCAGTCAGCTCACTCTGCATCTGCTCAGACTTCTGGACACATCTAGTTCAGATACTCAGGCACACTCAGAGACTTAACACAATTATTAATGTAGTCACTTCCCTATTAAGAATACATCACCTCATTAGCATAGTCACTCAGATTTGTTCCCTGTTCTTACAGATCTCAGTTAATGTCTCCTGGCCAGGAAAAAAATCTTCACAAAGACATTTAGAGAAGTAAAATAAAGTTCTCATGGAAGTGCAGACCCACCGAGAATATGACACTGCCTCATTCCTGTACTTCATGCACAGATGGGTTCATACTATCTGGAATGATCTTAGTCTGGGCTGAATAAGGGAAAAGGCAAATTCACTTATAGCATGGAATACTGATAGACAGTATCTGTGAGGTGTTGGGAAATGTTATGGTAATAGGGAGGAACGTGTTCAAGGGTTTGAAAAGAAAAATAGCAACATATTTTGGGGCCGTCTTGTGATGCAGCAAGCGATTTTTTACTGAGCCAAATTCTGCTGTCCCTTAAATGAGGGCAGAATTTAGCATGCTCTGACTCTTCCTCTCATTTTTAAGGTCTCATTGAGCGAGACCAAACACTAGGGTTACCATTCCCCCGGATTTCCCCGGACATGTCCGGCTTTTAGAGTTAAAAAATAGCGTCCGGGGGGAATCTGTAAATGTCCAGACTTCCCCCCCCATGCAGAGCACGCGCTGCTGACAGGGCAGCCGGCCGGATGGTGCCACTTACATGGGGCTCCGACAGCGAGAGAGAGCCCCTCCTCCTCTTCCCTGCAGCTGAGATCACTTCCTCCCTGTATTTGCAGATTACCAGCCTGCAGTTCGCACCGGCAGTCTGGAGCTCCTCCCCCTGCTCCTCCTCCCCGGTACACTGGTCTGAGTGGCAGGGTAAGGGGGCC